GTGTTCGCGTAAATATAAGAAATCATTATGTAATCAAAGAATTTTTCACCACTTCGCATAATTTATTTGAAGATTACGGTAGAAATACTATATAAATGTTAATGTGTCTGTTTAAAGTAAAAGCCGAAATTTGGTCAAGTTCTCTAAACACGAGTTTATCTTCAAACTAGTACGACGCCAAGGCCAGTAAGTAATCCAAATTATCAAATAAATTTAATTATTAATTCTTAATGTATGTCTTTGTATTATTTGTGTAGTATTATGTATTTACGATAATTTTGAAAAAAAAAACTTAAGGTCCTATTTATTATTAAAACGTATAAATCAACTTCTACCTTACCAACGTTCAACAATGACGTCAATTAAATTTTCGAGATGCCGTTTATATTTAAGATATGTGAGGAAACTTCGGGCTGTCTATTGGATTTAATAATGTCTAAAAATAGAAAGTCATATATTGCTAATGTACGGTATAAAGTATCAAAGAAGAATTGTGTGAAAATGTTTGATATAAATATTTTCTTTTTATAGAGTTAAACACTCACCACGGCCAATCCATCTCGCACCGAATTCAGTATCCAAAAAATTTCTTACACAACGGGAGAAATGCGGTTGTGCGCCATCGTGTTGAAACCACATGCGACGAACGAGGTCTAGATTTATTTCGTCAAGTTTATTGCTTAGTTCTTCTCATAAAAAGCGTCCATAGTTTTCACCGCCCATTGTGTGGTCAAGAAAATACGGACCAATAATTTTGTCACCTATAATTCCCGCCCAAACATTGATTTTCCATCGGTGTTGAAAGTGGATTGGTTTATAGGAATGTGGATTAGTCGTCGACCATACGTGTTCATTATGAGCGTTAAATACGCCTCTTCTAACAAAAGAGCATTCATTCGTGAAAAGTACGCGGTTCAAAAACGGTCTCGGTGGAGTCTCCGGGTTAGTATAAGCACCTAAATCGTCGGGAATTAATAAAAAAATAAGTTAATCAAACGCGATAGAATCAAAGATAATAATAAAAAAAAAAAGATAGTAGTTTTATTCAATGTGTAGTGTTCGCGTAAATATAAGAAATCATTATGTAATCAAAGAATTTTTTAGTAATTCGCATAATTTGTATAAAAATTACGATAGAAATACTATATAAATGTTAATGCGTCTGTTTAAAGTCAAAGCTGAAGTTTGGTCACGTTCTCTAAACACGAGTTTAACTTCAAACTAGTGCGACGCCAAGGCCAAGTTATCCAAATTATCAAATAAATTTAATTATTAATACTTAATGTTTGTATTTGTATTATTTGTGTAGTATTATGTATTTACGATAATATTGAAAAAAAAAAACTTAAGGTCCTATTTATTATCAGAACGTATAAATGAACTTCTACCTTACCAAAGCTCAACAATGACGTCAATAAAATTTTCGAGATGCCATTTATATTTAAGATATGTGAGGAATCTTCGGGCTGTCAATTATAATTAATAATGTCTAAAAATAGAAAGTGATGTATTGCTAATGTACGGTTTAAAGTATCAAGGAAGAATTGTGTGAAAATGTTTGATATAAATATTTTCTTTTTTATAGAGTAAGTGTGACAAACGAGCACACATACCACCTGACGGTTAGTGGATACTGTGGCCCATAGACATCTACATTTACATACTACAAGTTGCTACGAGTATTAAAAAGGGTTTCCAATTCTGTACACTTCTTATACGTAACGAAGCAAAATTAAGTTGCTATTTACGCTGATAAGTGGTCTCTCAAGGCGTTTTCTTTCACCACCAAGCATCTGATAATCCAGCAACATTATTAGTGTACCTAATATCTTATTAACCTACCCTTATCTGCCCCTCCACGTTTATGGATTACTTTCACGGACTTGTGAAAATAATTCATATCAGTTAATTAAAACTTTCGTACCCTTTTCCAGTAGAAGTACTTTATTTGATTCTCAACTTTTCTCTTAATAAAATTAAAATTAAATTTATTACAAAAATATAATCTTAACAAGTATCTTAATTAGTTAGTAATGTGGGTTAGTACTGTCTAATGTATATTAAATTACTATTCCAGATTTTAAATAAGTTTTATACAACTAAAGAAGACATTTAATGTAGCTTCGTTTTAAGAATACAAATTATAATAAAATAATCCTGACACTCAATCATATAATTAATAATAATGTATTGTATGTATTAAGTTGCTAATTAATTTGTTGTTAAAAGCATGTTGGAAGCGTGTGTGTCCCGCAAAGTACTCGTAGGGTTCCGCTGGGCAGATAATCCTTAATAATTACTAAAGTTTTAATGCAAGAGTGTAGAGTATGCTATAATTTAAATCGAAACATATCTTTAAGAGAAATTTTTAGACTCTTTAATTTTGTCAAAACGCTTTATTGATATATTAGAATATAGAATACTTTGGAAATAATAAAATTCAGCCAGTAACCCAGAGAATTGAAGCCGGGATAGAATATGGGCTAAGGACTTGCCGTATATTTTATTGTTAAGAATTGTTAAGTGCTTATTTACCATGTGTTTGATGGGGAAGCAAAACTTCAGGAGGAAACCATGAAGTTTTGCTTAATGAAGACATGCATGTCTAAGAAATTTAAAATAAACTTTGAAGACACCCACACACAGAAGAAAAAGGGTTCGCCGTATTCGTCATCTGATTAGCAATTGTAACATAAGGTTTCTTACAATTATGAAGCTGCTCCTTGACGCAGGTCTGGATATATTTCATCCGTGTTCTAATTGTGTGTAATTGTAGTGGCTCTTTACACACTAACTCTATCATGATGTAGCAATTTGTATAAGAAAGCGCATATTTTGTAATTTATGATTTGTACAAATCATATATCATAAATGAAATCATAAATATGAACTTTCGCGCCTGTCACCGGGAAAGGTTGGCAGAGACCACGGAATTTCATTTGCACAATCGCAACTCACCCCTCTCGCTTATTTCACTTTCATATATATATAAAGAAACATGCTCGTGCTTTTGTGGTTATTGCAAGGTAACCCTTCCGCAGCAATTAAATCGAAGTGTAAAATATGCCGTTAAAGAAATAAAAAATGTTACCTGTACAATTTACACATAAAACATACATCAAATCACTTTTAAAAAGTGCAAGACTTCTGGCCTCTGATATTACGATAATAAATGAGTTCGCCAAGTGATTATTAAAGCAAATCCTCTCTACAGCGGGGTATATAACGGTTGACTGTTGAGAGCTACGAAGAAGAAGAAATTGCTAAAAAAATAGGTTTCGTTGTTGTCAATGAAAAAACAATTACGAATTTTTAACTTAAGGGAATATTAACTACTCCATAAATCACTAAATCGAATTTCTTCAAATTTCATAAAAATATAACTGCATCAAAAGACGTCAAAACATTTTTCTTTAGTCGGGTATCGAAACTGCTCATTTTGCGGATAAAAAACAGCATATTATTTATTATTTTTAAGCATCAATCGATAGTATTCAAGTTTTGCAGAGGAACTTTACGTGTCAAACCTAAGAAGCCACTTTATATTTATAAAGTATAAACAGAAGCTAGCACGGACCGTCTCAAGTTTTGGGAGTAGGGAAGGATACGTTGTAGTGCATAAATGCTTAGAGGCATTAGGATTCATATGTCCTTGAAATAATTTTGGCTTCTTATAAATACAACTTCTTTTTTTTATAGGAATAGGTGACAAACGAGCACACAGTCCACCTGATGGTAAGTGGTTGCTGTGAACCATAGACATATACATTTTCCCTCAATAAAAAATCAAAATGCAGATGCGTCGTCACCCGTGAGGACTAAAATGGAATGCCTCTTTTCCAGTGAAATGGGTCTTCTGTTCTCCACACTCACCATACGAAACAAAGCAGTGTCAAGCTGTCAATATATGTTGGTATTCTGTGAGAGCGTGGTCCTTCACCGGTCGAGCTGACCCATTCATGCTACAACTATTCTACTAATATAGCTGCAGCATGGCTCTACCACGTATAATAGTTCCCTTATAATTGGCAATTTTAGGCCTGTAGGGAACGGATTCAGCTTGTTCGTTCACTACTGATGTCACAATTTTATATTCTCCAGTAATTCATTTTAATTATTATTATAAATATTAATAGCGATGATATTTATTACCAATTAACACGAATGACATCTTCACTGAAGCAGGAAGGAGTCTTTAGTGATACCAAAGAAAACTATGGAATCTACTAAAGTCAAACGCTATATATAATCAAGTATTTATTGATAGTTCAACTCAATATGAGTAGTACCTGCCTCATATTTAGTAAAAAAAATTTTAATACCTCGTTGGTCCAGCGCGGTAAACGGAGTTGCTTATCATGAGGTCTTGGGTTGAATCTCGGGTTGGGCCAATATCAGTTATTGGGTTTTTCTTTTATAAAAATTTCAATAGCAGCCTGGAGTCAGGAAGTTGGCGGTGGTTAACCCCTGTGCCTCGGGAGAATTCAGAATCAAGTAATCAGTTGAAAGTTAACCGAAAACTTGAGAAACAGTATTATTTACGTCGTCAAATATGCTCCCTTAAATGCATAAAGTTGTAAAACTGCAACATACCATTCAAACAACCATAAAATTATTAGTATGAGTTCATTGCATGCTGTTGCAGGATTATCACTATCATGGTTATATATTTAATCGAGTGGCAACACACTTTTTTTCTTCACGACTGTCAAATTTAAACTTGACATTGACAAATCAAAGCCGATCGTAATTTTGGAGCGGATGAAAATTGTGTACTTGCTTTGCAGTGTAATTATTTGATTTTCGAAGGTAAGTTCAAACAAAATTAGTTATTTTACGTAATAATTCATCTTCTTTTCAGTACAATTTATAAGTTATAAAAAAAACTTTTGGTGTGTTCGGAAATTTTGTTTATTTTGTTGTTGTAAATCTGCAACAATATGCATTTACTAGAAAATGTCCCTGTTTAGATTCTAACTATCACTTTTATTGGTTTTCAGATGCCAAACTTGAATCAAAAGCAAATAGAAGAGTATTTAGCTCTAATAAATGATGGAGAGAGGTCGGAAGATGATCTTGAGGAGTCGGATACAGAAGGTCATGAGAATTTTTGTGAAAATCGAGACGATTTGCTTCACGATCTTGAGAGTCAATTAGAAGAGGAAAATGATGACCCCGATAATGATCCATTCATGGCAGGAGACCCGCCATTGATAAATGAAGCTACAGCAAATGATCAAGTGCCACAGGTTCCATTCCCCTCAACAAGTCAAGCTAGTCGCCGAGCAACTATGAGAGGACTCGTATGGAAGGTAAAAAATTTTGTTTTGAATTCTGACCAGACAGCTTTTCATGGAGACACTACATATCCACCAGAACTGAAGGATGAGGCTACTACTGGTACTCCCTATAGTATTTTTTCACATTTTATTACATCAGAAATAGTTCAAAGGATTGTGGAAGAGTCTAATTTGTATTCCGTTCAAAAAAATGTGACTAAACCATTAAATTTGTCTGAAACTGAGCTAAGAAAGTTTATGGCGATACTGATATACATGTCTGTTATAAAATATCCCAATGTACGGCTATACTGGTCAAATACTGTAGGTTTTCAACCAATCAAGGACATAATGACTGTCAACAGATTTGAGACTATTCGTAGATTTCTACATTTCAACAATAACGAGAAACATTTACCCAAGGAACACCCACAACATGATAGGCTCCATAAGATAAGGCCTATAATTAGCCATCTAAATGAAAAATTTGCTTTAGTTCCTATGGAACAAAGACTCTCAATTGATGAACAGATGTGTGCCACGAAAGTGGCACACTTCATGAAGCAGTATTTACCTAATAAGCCCCATAAGTGGGGGTTTAAATTATATGTGATGTGCAGCGTGAAAGGTTATGCTCATAAATTTGAAATGTATACTGGCCAAGAGAATGAACGGCTTCCAGATGAACCAGATTTTGGGCCAGTGGGAAATGTTGTAGTCCGGCTTGCTAGAGGTGTCCCAAGGCATATAAATCATATAATTTATTTTGATAATTTTTACACCTCTGTACCTTTAGTTACCTATCTTGCCAAACAAGGAATCTATAGCCTAGGTACTGTCCAATCTAACAGGCTAGTGAACTGCAAACTGCCGGACAAAAAAACAATGATGAAGTAATCTGTTCCTCGTGGAACTTATGAAGAGCAGATGACTGAATTTGACGGTATTGATGTGACAGCAGTTACTTGGAAGGACAATAAAGTTGTAACTTTTCTATCTTCGTATGTTGGAGCTGAACCTGTGGGCCAAGTAGAAAGATTTGACAAGGCAAATAAGACTAGAATTAAAATTTCATGCCCACATATAATTAAGGAATATAATGCCCACATGGGAGGAGTGGACCTAATGGATAGGTTTATTGGGAGGTACCGAATTGCAATGAGAAGCCGAAAGTGGTATCTTCGTATCTTTTACCACTTATTGGACATGACGGTAATAAATTCTTGGCTTGTGTATAAAGATTTAAAAATAACTGAAGCCAATTCATCAGTTCTAAACTTATGTCACTATAGACTGGAACTAGCTGAGGTATTAGCCAAAGTAAATAACTCATTTGAACTCTGCAACAAAAGAGGAAGGCCAAGTACCAGCAACAGTGTTGAAATGGAAATACAAGCAAAGAAAAGGAGAGGACCAGCTCAACATATTCCTCCTAAGGACATAAGAACTGATAATGTTAGTCACTGGCCTGGTAATTGTGTTCGCAGCAGATGCAAAATGCCTGGATGCAAGGGATACACGCAAACAAGGTGTGAGAAGTGTGGAGTAGCTCTTTGTCTTACCACGACCAAAATTGTTTTAAAAATTTTCATATGTAGTTATTGTCTAGTGAGTGCATGGTGTTGTAGTTCTGCAACATATGGTTTTTAATAAAAATAGCTATGAAAAAAATATTTACGATTTTTTTTATTATTTTTCCCTGAATCAGCATATTCATGGCTCCAAAATATATTTTTTCTCGGTCTAAAAATAAAATCATGCATTTAAGGGTTAACTCCATCAATTTTAAACAGTAGGAAGGTATTATCAGCAAACAAAAGTTTTTAGCGTAGAAGGGACGATCATTTATATTTATTATAAAGACAATTTAGTCCCAACATTGTCCTTTGGGGTACGCATATAGTTGCACGCTATAACTTATAGTTGATGCTCCGGAAGACCCATTAACTACCTTTTGCAACCTGTCAGAAAGGTACAATTTTAAAAGTTTAACTAAGTTTTTAAGGCACCAAATAATGACTTATTTTGTTTAATAGCATATCATGACATACGCAACCAAAGGCTCTTGATAGATATCAAAAACACCTATAGCATCCTACTTACCTTCACCAGAATTTTAGGAATGCTTGTACTACTTCCGGTCTGAAGGTCAAAAGAGTCAATATAGTTACAGGATGTGAGACATTTGATTTTATAGTCTTCAGTGGTGACAACACATATGTAGCCTTTTTAGTTTCAAGTTAGCTGAATGAAGGTGTCCATGGGCTGCAGTAGCCACTTACCATCAAAGAGACTGTGAATTCATTTGTATCTTGCGTTTCATGAAAAAAAAAACTTTGTTTTTTCTGGAGTTCAGAGAAGCCAGATTGTCTGTTATAACATAATTTGTTCAGCGAGAAATTGGATATATATAATTTTTTTTTAAATATCGACGGGGTCAACCTACACTTCGCCTACCGGTACGAGGCTGCCACTCAAGAACCTTTGTTCCCCATCGGTTGTCGGTTCTTCGAGCTATATGGCCGGCCCACTGCAACTTCAGCTTACTAACACGTTGGGCTATGTCGGTCACTCTGGTTCTACTGCGGATATCCTCATTTCTATGTTTATCATGCAGAGAAACTCCGAGCATAGCCCTCTACATAGCTTGCTGAGCGACCTTGAGCTTCCTCATACGGCCAGCAGTGAAGGACCAAGTCTCAGATCCGTAAGTCATCACTGGCAACACGCACTGGTTGTACAATTTCGTTTTCAGGTTTTTAGGTATGTCTGACGAGAAGATGTGTCGTAGCTTCCCGAACGCTGCCCAGCCGAGTTGAATCCGTCGATTGACCTCTCGGTCGAAGTTGGACTTACCTAGTCGGACTATTTGTCCCAGGTAAACATACTCTTACGGTGGTAGAGCCCTGGACCAGTTTTTTGCTGTTGCACGTATGGGCCGGCTCGAGCCGGGTTGGTACCACGACCTCACAGAATACCGGCGTGAAGTAGAGGCTCTGCTTCTGCGTTTCGTCTGGTGAGTGCAGGTGGCCGGAGGCCCAATTCCCCCCCCCCCCCCCCCCCCCCATCAACATGGTAGCGGAATTAGACAATAGACTACCCCAGGAGGGTACCAGTACCCCTGGAGAATCCCTCGCTGAGCATCCACGACCATGTTATTCCAATCCTGAGCGTGGGTGCTCAGGCTGCCCCGCGTATTCTGGGGGGGGCAAAATTCCGCTCAAAAACAAAACTGCTCGGGGCAAGCTGAGCAACAATACCAAGGCGACCCCTGCCACGCTATCCGTGAATTTCTGCAACATCAGGGGACTTCACTCTAACCTAAACGCCGTCCACTACCATCTCGAGACGGCGAAGCCGGCCTTGCTCTTTTTGACCGAGACGCAGGTTTCCTCTCCGACTGATATTTCGTATCTCTCCTACCCGGGGTACAAATTGGAGCACTCCTTTGTGCCTCGGGCTGGAGTTTGCGTGTATGTTAGAGAGGACATCTGTTCTCGACGCCTCGGCAGTCTTGAAGGTTCGGACCTGTCCATCCTTTGGCTACGCGTAGACAGCGACGACCATCCGCGCGTCTACGGGTGCCTCTATAGGTCCCATAGCGGTAATGCCGAAACAGACCGACTCATCGACCACGTCCAAATGGCTACAGATTCCTTGCTACAACAGGTCCCATCCGCAGAGATCGTGATCCTTGGCGATTTTAACGCCCACCATGCCGAATGGCTCGGTTCACGTGTAACCGATCATGCGGGGAGATCTGTTTATGACTTTGCCTTGGCATATGGTCTGACACAACTGGTTACTTCGCCTACGCGGATTCCAGATGTGGAGGATCATACACCTTCCCTGTTGGACCTTCTGCTGACCTCTCATCCGGACGGATATCAGGTTTCCGTCGATGCCCCTCTCGGCTCTTCGGACCATTGTCTGATCCGGAGTATGGTGCCACTCACGCTCCCTTCGCGGTTGCGTTCTGCAGGTTGCCGCCGTGTTTAGCATTACAGGTCGGCGGATTGGGACGGAATGCGGTCTTTCTTTGCATCCTACCCATGGGGGCGGGTTTGCTTCTCGCCGGATGATCCCAGTGCTGTTGCTGACTCTGTCACTGATGTGGTGCTACAGGGAATGGAACTATTTATTCCATCATCTGTGGTACCCATCGGAGGCAGATCTCAGCCTTGGTTTGGTCGCTCCTGTAAGACTGCATTGCGCAGTAAGCAGGAGTGTTATCAAGCCTGGGCTGCAGCTTCGGTGACTCGGGATGTAAACACCAGCACACTTAAAAAGAAGTATAACTTCGCCTCCAGGTCCTTCAAAAGAGTTATTGCCAAGGCAAAGTCAGAGCACATAGGCAGAATTGGCGAGAAATTAGTTCGCCTTCCTTCGGGAACCCGTGCATTCTGGTCTCTCGCCAAGGCTGTCCAAGGGAATTTCTGTAAGCCATCACTACCATCTCTGCACAGGGAGGACGACTCACTGGCCCAAGACGCAAAAGACAAAGCCGACCTTTTAGGCTCCCTTTTTGCGCCCAACTCGACTCTTGATGACGGGGGGAAAATCCGCCGACCATCCCGCGGTGCGAGTGCTCCATGCCGGATGTGCTATTCTCACAGCGCTCTGTTCGCAAAGCACTTCTCTCCCTGGACATCCAGAAGTCGAGTGGGCCTGACGGAATCCCCCCAATTGTGCTGAGGACGTGTGCTCCGGAGTTGGCACCGGTCCTAACGCGTCTTTTCCGGTACTCCTACTCCCAAGGCGTAGTCCCGAATTCATGGAAGACAGCTTTTGTCCACCCGATCCCTAAAAAAGGCGACCGCTCAGACCCGTCCAACTATAGGCCTATCGCGATCACCTCCTTGTTCTCCAAAATAATGGAATCCAATATTAACTGCCAGCTCATCCGGTACCTTGAGGATCACCAGCTGATTAGTGACCGCCAATACGGTTTTCGTCGGTGTCGATCAGCTGGTGATCTTCTGGTTTACTTGACCCATAGATGGGCGGAGGCAGTAGAGTCCAAGGGGGAGGCGTTGGCCGTTAGTCTGGACATTGCGAAAGCCTTTGATCGGGTTTGGCACAAAGCGCTTCTTTCAAAGCTGCCTTCCTATGGGCTTCCCGAGAAATTGTGCAATTGGATCACCAGCTTTCTTGCAGATCGGAGCATCAAGGTCGTTGTAGACGGTGCATGTTCTGACTACAAGCCTATTAACGCTGGTGTTCCACAAGGCTGTGTGCTATCACCTACGCTGTTTCTTCTGCATATCAATGATATGTTGCTAACTGGTAACATTCATTGCTATGCGGATGACAGCACTGGTGATGCTCTATACACCGGCCGGGCCAATATTTCTCGGGAAAACGTCGCCGAGTACCGGAACAAACTTGTGTCTGAAGTCGAGTCTTTGCTGGACAAAGTCTCGGATTGGGGGCGACTAAATCTAGTCCAGTTTAATCCTCAGAAGACACAAGTTTGCGCGTTTACCGCTAAAAAGAACCCCTTTGTCGTATCTCCTCAGTTTCAAGGCACTCCCCTTCTTGCCTCAGCCAGTATCGGTATCCTCGGAGTCGACATATCGAGTGACGTGCAGTTTCGTGGTCACTTGGAAGAGAAGGCCAAATTGGCCTCTAAAAAGCTTGGCGTGCTCAGCAGAGCGGGACAGTATTTCATGCCGGCACACCGCCTGCAACTTTACAAGGCGCAGGTTCGGCCTCACATGGAATACTGTTCCCATCTCTGGGCAGGGGCTCCCCAGTGCCAGCTCCTTCCACTTGACCGCATCCAGCGCAGAGCGGCTCGAATCGTCGACGACCGAGCCCTTTCCGATCGGCTCGATTCATTGGCACTGCGAAGAGATGTTGCATCTCTTTGCATTTTCTTTCGCATCTACCATGGG